TTGGCCATTGGTTTGAGGGTACGCCACCAACGCCATCGTGCATGTAATGCGGTTTCGGGCACAAAAATTTTCAAAGGGCCTGCAGTCAAATTGTGTGCCATGATCAGTAATAATGGAGTGTGGAATGCCAAACCGGATCATTATGTTGTTGAACACGAATTTCTGGATCCGGGCGCTGGTGATGGTCTCAAGCGGTTCTGCCTCGATCCACTTTGTAAAGTAGTCAACAGCTACCACCAAGTATTTCTTTCCCAGGGGGGATGTGGTAAAAGGTCCTAGAAGATCGAGTCCCCATCTGGCAAACGACCATGGCCCAACTACGCTTTGTAGCTCGGAACCGGGTAGGTGATGTTTGGATGCGTGAACTTGGCATGCATGGCATTTCAAGACAACCTCGGTGGCGTCCTTCTTGATGGTAGGCCAGTAGTATCCTTGCAAGAGAACGGTTCGTTCAAGCGACCTGGGTCCTACATGGGTGGCGCACGTCCCTTGTTGTATCGCTTTCAAGGTCCACCGCGCCTCTTCAGGGCCCAGGCACTTCAGATATGCACCCGAAAATGATCGCTTGCACAATTGGCCGTTCACCATTGAGTATCGGGCCGCCTTTCGTATGAGTGCCTTGCGTTCGATTGGAAGCGAGGGAGCGATGTCTTGCTCTAGGTATTGAATCATGGGCGTCCTCCAATCGGCCTCCTCCAAGTTCATGACTTCCTCTTGTTGGTCGCTCTCTTTGGTGACGGTGACATGCCGATTGCCTTCGAAGTCCATGGCAGTGGCAAGTTTGGAAAGCGCGTCGGCGTGCTGGTTGTCATCCCGCCGTACGTGCTCTAACTTCCAAGAGTTTAACTGTCCCAGGGCGCTTCGCGCTTTGGTGGTCAAGTCGGCTAGCTTCTCATCCTTAACTTCGAATGCTTCATGAACTTGCTTGACTACCAGGAGAGAATCTGAGAATATATGCACATAGGAAGCGCCCAGGGTGGCGAGTATGCGAAGTCCATTGATGAGAGCTTCGTATTCAGCGACGTTGTTAGTTTTTATGTCCTTGAACCTTAAGGAGATTTTGTGGATGACACCATATGGCGATTCGATGACTATTCCTGCCCTCGAGGTGGTTTTCCCGGCGGCCCCGTCAATGAATAGACGCCAAACGTGATTACGCTCCTCGGAGGGAACGCTTTCCAGAGAGAACCCTTCGGCAATGAAGTCTGCTAGCACTTGGCCCTTGATGGCCGGTCTTGGGGCGTACTCTATGTCGAACTCACTGAGCTCGATTACCCACTTCGTTATTCTTCCGGAGGCGTCCATGCCCCGCATAATACTCTTGAGGGGGAGGTTAGTCAGCACCGTGATGGGGTGTTCTTGGAAGTACGGCCTTAGCTTTCAGGCCGTGGAAGCCACAGCAAGGACCGCCTTCTCCACGGGAATGTACCTCGTTTCGGCTGGGAGGAGAGCTTTGCTTACATAGTACACCGGTTGGTCTGAGCCGTCTTTCGCCCTCCGAACCAGGACGGAGCTTACGGCTTGCTCGGAGACTGCCAGGTAAAGGAAGAGTCGTTCCCCACACACGGGGGCGCTCAAGACCGGCGGCGAGCTTAGCTGACTTGTCAGTAGAGCGAAGGCTTTGTCGCACTCGACGCCCCATTGGAGTTTCGCGGCGGACATTCTGAGCATCTGGAAAAATGGAGAACATTTATCCACTGACCGGGGAATGAACCTCCCGAGTGCTGTCATTTTGCCATTGAACGCATGAATCTCCTTGATGGTCCTCGGCGGCTTCAGGCTTTGGATGGCTTCTATCTGCTTCGGGTTAGCTTCTATTCCTCGCTTCGTGATCATGAAGCCGAGGAACTTTCCTGCTTCAGCTCCGAAGACGCACTTGAGTGGGTTGAGCCTTTGGTTTTTCCGTCGTAGGGTTTCGAAGGTTTCCCGCAAGTCGGAGAGGTGGTCTTCGGCTTTTTTACTCTTGACTAGGACGTCATCCACGTAGGCTTCGATGTTCCTTCCCATCTGGTCTTTGAAGACAGCATCAACCATTCTCTAATAGGTTTCCCCTGCGTTTTTTAACCCGAATGGCATAACTACGTAGCAAAAGTTGCCCATGGGTGTCATGAACGCGGTCAGCTCCTGGTCGTCTTCCGCCATTTTGATTTGATGGTATCTCGAAAACATATCCAAGAAGCTGAGCGCCTCGTGGTTGGCGGTTCCATCTATTAGTTGGTCGATGCGGGGAAGAGGATATGCATCTTTGGGACACGCCGCATTGAGGCTAGTGAAATCGATGCACATCCTCCAAGTGCCTCCTGCCTTTCGTACAAAGACTGGGTTCGAGAGCCACGTGGGGTATTGTACCTCGCGTATGAAGCCAACTTTGAGAAGGCCCCTTACCTCCTCCTCGAGTGCCATTTGCTTCTCCACCGACAGGTGTCTCCTCCGCTGTTGTATTGGCTTTGCCTTGGGCTTGACGGAGAGTCGCTGCTCGGAGACGCGGCGTGGGACGCCAGGCATGTGTTCCGGACCCCATGCAAAGAGGTCTTGAAATTCTCGGAGGAGGGATAGCAGTTTTTGTGCTTCTTTGTTGGCCAAGTGAGCCGAGATGCGCAACGGTTTTGTCGGGTTCTTCTTCATTGAGGGGGACCGCAATATCCCCTTCGACCGCCTCGGGACGAGGTACGTTGCCTCTCGCATCAACTAGGTCCACCTCCAGATGTTCGGTTGTTGCCTGGTAGCATTCCTTGGCGTCTTTGAGGTTGCCTCGGACGCGCCCCGTCAGACTTCCGCTTGGGAATTTCAACATTTGATGGCAGGTAGAGGCGACCGCCTCGAAGGACGCAAGGAATCCGCAGCCTAAGATAGCATTGTAGGCTGAAGGGCAGTCTGCGACGTGGAATTCCACTAGGCGAGTTTTTGTGACTCCGCCCTCTCCTATGGTAACTTTGAGGGTGATTGACCCGAGGACACGGACCTTCGTTCCGGAGAACCCCACAAGGCTGGTGTTGGAGGGTTGGAGGTCCTGGACGCTCTTCTTCATTCCTTTGAGCGCGGAGTAGAATAGGATGTCTACAGAGCTCCCATTGTCGACTAGAGCACGAGTGATCTTGAATTTTGCTGTTCGAAAGGAGATGACTAAGGGGTCTTCCGAGTTTTCTTCATTGGCCAACTCAGAGGGCAGGAAAGTGACCTCCGTTGGCGCTCTGCGTTGCATATTGAGGCATTGGGTGAGACGGTCTCCTTCGGTCCTTGGGCGCTTGCGCCCTCCTGCGATAGTTATGATCTCCATCCCGTCGTCGTCGTTCCGGGAGGCTCTGTAGGGGGGAGATTGCCTCAGAGGAGAGGCGACTTTGTTCCAAGAGCGGGATCTGGATCTTTCCTTTCTTGTTCGTCTTGTCTTGTCTTGTTCAGGGCTTGGAGATTCTTCTCGTGCGTCTGGCGAGTGTTCTCCACGAGACCGCCTTGTTTCCAACCTGCTTCTCAGGTCTCCCGGGGCCAAATGCCGGAGCGTGGCCTTAAATTCCCTACACTCTGCGGTGTCATGAGTTGTGATTTGATGCCAGTTGCATCATTTCTTTCCTTCTTGCAGTTCTTGAGTGGAAGACGCTTCGTGCTTCCTTCCTCCTTTCTTCCGATCTCTTCCCCTTTCTCTGTCGGTGGAAAGCACATCTCTTCTTCCATCTCGATCGGTGTACTTGTTTCGATATGATCTTCGGTCTGGGGATTGCCTCCCCCTCTGGGGGTCTCCACGCTCTGAGGCGTCTCCACGTTGGCGGGCCTGTTGGCCTCGGTCGTCGTTGGCTAGGGCTTCCTCTAATAAGATCGCCCGGCGCACCAATTGGTCCAGGTCGGACCAGGTCGTCAGGGTCGCCTCCTTTTTTATCAAGGTTCTTTTCAGCTCGATGCTAGTTGTTGAGATCCGGAGATTCCCGGCAGCCACGACCGAGGAGATGCCATCTATCTCGCAGGCGATCGCGTTCCACCGATTGTAGAACTCAGCAAGCGATTCATCCTTCCTTTGGCGGCAGTTTATGAGTGCCGAGACAGTGAGTTTGCGACGTCGTTGAGATGCGAACTTAGTGGAGAAGATCATCGCAAACTGCTCGAAGCTTCCTATGATCCCTTCCGGGAGAGAGGTGTACCATGTGCGGCATTGACCGCTGAAGGTAACTGGGAACGCTCGACACAGATCCGAGTCTGTCTCGTTGATAAGTTGCATTTTTAGCATAAATGCACAAAGATGGTCGGCGGGATCGGATGTCCCGCCGTAGGTAGGTAGTCCCAGAGATGAGAAGTTGGGAGGGACCGGAGTCTTGAAGAGTTCCTTCGATAAAGGATTTTGGAGGACATTCGGGCTCTTGTGCTTCCCGAATGTTGACCGCAGATGCTCCTCGAGGAAGTTAAGATCTGCATCGTCAGCCTCTGGTCCTCCGCCTTCTGTCCGAGCAGGGATGTCGAGGACAAGAGCGCTCTTCTGCTTCTCGTCTCGCGTCCTTCCTCTGGATCCCTCGCCTGGATCGTCTCGGGTCTTCAGAAGTTGGAGAATCTGGGAAAGGCTGTCCTGCATGCTCGCGATTTGCCTTCCTTGACTTTTGACCACTTCCTCTAGTTCGGCTTCATCTTCAACTCTCGGCGATAAGCCTCGGCGAGTGTTGTTTTCGGTCATCCCCTTGAGGGGGGTTTCGAAGTCGTCTCCCATCTCGTTCTCCACGAAGTCGTGGGCCCCAAGGTGGGCGCCAAAATGTTTGAGCCAGGATTGTACCAAGCGGTTTTGTGAGACTCACCAGCTCCGGGCGGCCTTCGATGGTCGGGTGCGGTCTCCGAAACCCTGCAGAAAGGTCACCAGGGTGATCCTAGGACCTCCTCCGATGCTTAAGTTAGAGAGAGAAGTGAAGTGATAGTAATGGAGAGAGAATGGAGTAAAGTGAAGTTACCATAAATGAGCCCTATCATTGGGTATTTATACTAGTTGTGGTTGGGTTGTGCGCATTTAATAGCCTGTCAGGCGCTCAAGGTCGCCTCTGGCTTTATTAAATGCTTGCTCTGATCGTATCTTTGTCAGACTCCGTACCGGAAGGACAGGAGTCCGTTAGGCCGTAGTGTCGGGCGTTTCGCTTGACTTGGCAAGTCAGAATGTCGGGCGGTTTCCTCCGAAGACCGCTTCCGGCCTGTGTTTTTGCCCCTGCTTGAGTGGGCTTTCTTCTCCTATGGGCTTTTGGTGACTCTGTGGGCTTGGGGGCCCATGCGCCTCAATATTTGGCCCAACAAGTTCCATCTTAACACAGTATCGGAGGCATGTACTATTATTAGACAAATGATCTTACGCTCTCAATTAGGAACTAAACGAAGGTTAAATGCTTGATTGGCAAACTAAATCGATGAACCTAGTGATCTTAAGAAAAAATTAATGATAACATGATTTCTTGGACCAAACTACTAAAGGAAAAAAAGAAAAAAGAGACCGTACATTAGCATAAGAACTCAACAAATTACTTATAAGAACTAATGACATAAGGAAAATGCAAACTCAAACCGTTCTTCCGAAGGTCATGGATTACATAATTGTAATCTCACAATCAAATTAGCACATAAATGTAACCCACAAACAAATTAGCATACAAATGTCATGGCATAATCAAATGAGCATCAAAGTTGCACCTGTCCATCTCAATTTAGAAATAGGAATCCAAGATATCCAAAAAACAAAGGATTACCTATCAAGTCTGAGGTGCAATTCTGCAAAGATGATAGGGTGGTCAGGCTCGAGAGCATCCGTGACCACGAACCATCAAGGCGCAATTGAAGCAAGCTCTCGATGGGGAAAGGGATTGGACCAACGCCATCGTTGAGGTCGAAGCTTCCTTCCTTCTCGTCACTGCTCAAATCCGAATTGTTGTTGTCCCACTCCATCAATATATTCGAAACCCAGTTACCTCCGTCAGCTATCTATTACCTGGAATCGATATGCCTGGTCAGAACCCATAATAGCTCCAAAGCAGATAAATCACGCAGCTTCATAGTCGACATGTAATGAGTAATCACTAGTTCTTGCAATGGCTCCAATTTGTCGAGCCCCATCACCCCATGAAACTGATAACATATCCTGATCCATAGAATCGATAAATCCCCAACTTCACCAAGCCCTTGGATTTGAGAGAGGAGGGGCCAATCAATAATCTCGAGCTTCACTTGGTCAAATTTGACAGGCTGAGTACTTTTCTCAGTATAACACAACCACTCAACTTCACATCCTTCAGAAGGTCTAGACGTTCGAGGCCATTGAGATTAATTTGATTCGAATCGCTCGATAAGGGGAAGACAACAATTCGTTTCCAAATTAAATAGAAAGTGAGTTCAAAGAAGGGAGAAAATCAAACAATACATAAGAAAACCCCGGCAGCAAGAATTAACCCACCAATCTGAGTTGCAGAGCTTGACAGAGCTGTCGTTCGCATAAACAAATCGCCAGAACGCATACACCGAAGAAAAGTCGGTGAAACTGCAGGTATGGAAATTGATTGACAGAGGTGAGGTTTTGGTTTTGTGAATATAACGAAAGTCTTCAATTGGCCCGAATCGCGAGGTAAAAGGAAGATGAAAACCAAATACAAACCACCTATGAAGGGAATATCTCTACGGAGCTGTAAGTCCCTTGACGCGAATAGCAAGCACCGTAATCACTAAAAGGAATCGGTCGAACTGCAATCTTGTGTTTTTTAGAAGAAAAAAAGTGGGGAGAAGAAATCGGAGTTCATAAGGAAACCAAGGGAATAACTCGATGTAGTTGTTAGTCCGAATTGAAGCGAATCGCGAAGCTGAATCGGTCAAACTGCACGTACAGAGAATCGACTGCCACAGCTAATTTTGTGCTTTTGAGAAGAAAAAAGAAAACAATTAGGGAGAAGAAAACGGAATTCAGAAGGCAACCGCCATCAACCGAAGCGGGGAGGGAAACCGTCGGCTGAAATCCCAGCCACGACAGCTCACCGAAAAACACTCTAGAGGCCGGATTTTTTGAATGGGGATGGCAGTTATACGTTTCCACTATAACACTATGTTTCTTAAGGAGAGAAAAGGAGGGAAAAGAAAATTGAGGAGGGAAAGTGAGATTTCCAATGCATTTTCCCTTGTTCATTTATGGAGGGAATGTGAGCAAGGAAGGAAAATTATCCCTCCTTTGTACTATTCAACCCACTCCTCCAAATTGGAGAGAAAGAAGAGGGAATGAAAGACACACATGCATGTTCTTCTTTTTCTTCATTTTTAAATATTTGCCTAATAGTTAAGTTCCAACACAAAATAACATTAATTATTAATTCAATTGCTAACTTCATTATTATACAAGATTATTAACTTCACCCACTCTCTCACAATCCTTATTTGTTTTGTACTTAATCTCCTTTTTTTTAATAATTCCGTACTTAATCTCCAAAATAAGATTAAGTGAGTCTTTTTAATTACTAGTATGAAAGTAATCAAATTAATCCTCGTGACTTTTAGCCTTCATTCTGCTTCCTAACAAAATTAATTAGTAACAAAGAAGTAGCCAAACAAAAATAATTATTTCAATGAAGAATTACTAAATCCTAGCATAGTGTCTGTAATTTTGTAAAAATATACCATATATAATTTGATAATCATATATTATACCATGATAGCAAAAATATATCATAATGGTAGAACGATGGTAGAAATATACCATAGTGGTAAGCTTGTTGATTTGTGGTCTAATATAGTGCTAAATTCTATTTATTGTTGTATGACGTGGAAGTCACATCGCAGCCACTTTAGAATTATATGTTGGGTCATAGACAAAAGAGACTAATGTCTGTCAATATTAACGGTCTAGTTAAATTTCGAGTTTAATTTGTCGATTTCAAAGTGGATGTCATATTTGTTAATGTTATTAGTTGCTATGTTGATAAATCAACAAAATTTTAATAAGTTGAATGATTTTTAATTGATTTAGAATCCTTGATCAATTATTATAAAGTCTCTATTTTTAAATGATTTATGTGGTTAAATCACTATTTTTAAATAAACAAAGTCTCTATTAATTATTACATTACCAATAATAACATATTCATCACACTTCCCAAAACACACTTTCCTTCCTACTTTTCTCCATAAAACAACATTTTCCTTCACCTCCAAATCTCCCCTCCCCTCCTAATTTTCCTTCACCTCCCCTACTTTTCCTCCCTTCCTTCGAAAACATAGTGTAAATGTTACTGTTGACTCGTAGGAAAGAAGAAGAAAAAAAAGGTCTTAAAAACGCAGCCACCCAATTAATTAACATGCGCATAATTAAATTAGAAAACGAAAAGAAATCCATATTTTACAATGCAGAACGGCATTACAAATACAGCATTACTTACTCAATTATATACAATTAATCAATTTCTAACACTTTCCAAGTAATATATATATATATATATATATATATATGCTAATCATAATCATGATGAAGTTGATGAATTCAGCGTGCTACACGGCCGGCCGAGACTCAGAATGTTGGACTCCGATGATCTGCAGCCACCGCCACGAACGACCACGGCAGCCGCCGCCGGTAGCAACGGAACCACCGGCAGATTGTCGCAGTTGCAAATTTCAACCATGTGGCCATCTGGGTCGTGGAAGAAGAGTTGATCCACGTAAACTCCTCCTTCGTCCACCCTACTCTTCACGTACTCCACCTCCATCTCCTTCAACTTCTTCTCCGCCACCGCCATGCTCTCACACTGCCATGACATGCAAATGGAAATCAAACAAGTATGTGTAGTTAAGGATGAAATATCATTAAGTTTTTAACCTTTCTGGCCAAAACATCTTTGGTACAAAACTAGCCTACTTGTTATACTCATGTTTTCACATTTATAACATGTAGTTCAATATATATTTGTACGAATACGAAACATCGACTATTATTGTTAGATTAAATGAATATTATGATTTGGATTGGAGAATTATGAATAGGTGTTCACCCATTAGGATATAGTATATCATGAAACAAACTCCGGTTCATTCATTGTATAAATGATAGAACTCGATAGGTGAACGATAAGGTAGAATACACCAAACTTACGCTAGATTGAACCACCTATGAATATAAATTATTCCCATACACATTATGAACCGAAAGGGTCGAAATTTGTTCAAATCCCATCATGAATGTTCTACGTAAAATCAACAGTCAATATTAGATATTGTGATGGTTCAAACGCGCAACTTCTTAATCAAAGACTCCGACATATCAAGAACCCAACTTGTATCAATAACTCGAATCGAATCATTACCTGGAAAGAGATATGATTGTCCTTGGGATTAATGCGGGTGATGGCTGCTGCAGGAACGTCCTCCTTTTCGAGGTCAACGTCGCATTGCAGAAGATGGATCCCAATCCCATAATTCGACAGCCTGCAGCATGTACATATGGCCATGCAAAATCCAACTTTAAACAACATACAAAATCAAGTTTGCAGAAAGAAGGAATTAAAAAGAAATTTAAGTTTTGATTACCATGCACCGTCGAAATTGAATGAGCCAGGGCGCCTGATGGGAAAGAATCCCAAAACGTTCTGGTAAAAATCTAGAGATCTTTCCAGCGATCTGCAGGCCACCGAGATGTGATTCAACGACTTGAGTTGCAGAGGGTTGTTGCTAATGCTGCTCTTCTTCATTATCATTTTTCTTTCTTTCGTCGATATCCCTTGCCTGTAACTCGATTAATTAATATCTTGTATTTGATAATTATATTGGTTTTCACATAGCAAGAAGAGATGAATGGCAATGGCATTCAGGATAGAGAAGGGATTAATTAATGGGTTTGTGAGCTTATATATAATATATGCAGGCAGCAGGCCGATGCCGCCGCCGGTGAGAGGATTAGTGGAGTAGGATTATGGATAAAAATATATTTGATTGGATTTTCCCTACTATAACAATTAAGAAGAAATATTCTCTGTGCTCGCCTGCCTCATCACCAGCTAGCGAATGTGAGATGGCTGGCTGGCCACAAAAAAATTTCAACCTTTGGTGATAGCGTTGAAAAGAAGTACATATTAGACGTGTTATATATAATAGGCGAAATAACGTGCAATAAAAGGGAGAAAAGTATAACCGTGTATGCATTCTCGTGTTTTTTGCCTTTTTGGTGTGCATTTTAAGATTTTTTGTGTACGTGCATTCTTTTATACTTTTGGTATACATATTAATGTGCTTCTAATGTGGGTTATGAAATGATATTCCTTGAATATTTTTGCTGATATTTTTTTTTAGGTATTTACAGATTTCTCATATGTAGGGATGACAACTTTGCTCACACCCATGGGTTTCTTACTATCCAACCCAATTGGGTTGGGTATGAAATCCAAATAGATGGATATGGGTAGAGTTTGATAGGTTTGTACCCATACCCATTTACTTTGGGTTGAGTTGGGTTTATATAAAATGGATTTGGGTTTGTACCCATGCCCAAATACAAATTACAGTTTGGTACCCAAACTTAATAGATATGCATATTTAGTACCTAAATTTAATATATTTTTTGCATATAAGTCCTCAAAATATCGATGGAAAATTACGTTTTGGTACCTAATTTTTTTGGTCTTACATTTTGGTACCTAAACTTTTCAAGTTTTACAAATAGATCCGACTTTTGCATGTGTAGTTAAAACACCCTCAAGTAAATGGATATCCATATCCAACCCATACCCATTTAGATTATGGAAGCAATATTCATACCTTACCCAAACTCATCTATAAACCCCCAAATAGGCTTAATTGCAAGTTTGGTCACCCGAATTGCTTAAAAATTTCACGTTTGCCACTCAAATTGATTTATTCCATTTATAGTCACTCGAATTAGTTGAACAGTCCAAGTTCGGTCACTCTCCGTTAACCTCCGTTAGACTCCGTTAATGACGACCGTTAAATAATGACATGGCTAACAGTAAGACACAGTCAGCACATTTAAACAATAAAAAACAACGACCCGACCCGCCAGCTCAGCCTTACTCGCCCTGTCAGCCATTCTTTCCCAACCCGTGAACCAATAATTGATCCTAAACCCAAACCCGAGACCCAACCCCCCCCCCCCCCCCCCCCCCAAAAGTAAATTGAAGTGGAAATTGACTAGAAATTGATTCGCCCCGAAAGAAATTACGTTCAGGTTGCTCAATCTGGCCAGAGACTCTGGAATCCCGCCGACAAATTGGTTCCGAGCCGCAGAGATCGCCTGGAGGGAAGACACGTTGCCGAAGCAGGAAGGGAAATTCTCGGTGAAGTTGTTGAAATGGATTGAGAGCAGCTGGAGGTTCATGAGATTGCAGAGTTGTGTTGGGATCTCGCCGGACAAGCCGTTGTTGCCGACTCGCAACATGGTGAGATTGGAGCAGGCGGAGAGGTTCGGCGGGATGGTGCCGGAGATTGTGTTTTGGACTAGCACGAGTTGCTGGAGGCGGGTGAGGCGGCCGATTTCTGGCGGGATTTTGCTGGAGATGGTGTTGTTGTTGAGGATGAGGTGGGTTAGGAAGGACAAGTTGCCGATGTGTGGGGTCTCGGGTTTGGGTTTAGGGTTAATTAATTGGGTTGGTTCGCGAGTTGGGCAAGAATGGTTGACAGGGCGGGTAAGGCTGAGCTGGCGGGTCGGGTCGTCATTTTTAATGTTTAAATGTGTTGACTGTGTCTTTCTGTTAGCCACGTCATCACTTAACGGTCGTCATTAACGGAGTCTAACGGAGGTTAACGGAGAGTGACCGAACTTGGACTGTTCAACTAATTCGAGTGACTATAAATGGAATAAATCAATTTGAGTGGCAAACGTAAAAATTTTAAGCAATTCGGGTGACCAAACTTGCAATTAAGCCCCCCCACCCCACCCCCCCCCCCCCCACACACACACACAAATACATATGCACTTCACCCATACCTAACCCATTATCAATGGGTCTACTTGGGTTTGGGTATAATTACCCATGGGTGGGTAATTTGTCATCCCTACTCGTATGCATTCAGAGGTTTTTATTGTATGTATTCTAAAAATTCAGATGTGCACTATTCGCGTGATTTCGGTGTGCATTCAAAAGTTTTTGATACACATCCAGAGGTGTCCGGTATTCATTCCTATGCTTTGTGAAAACATATCGTACCGGTGGTTCAACAGTAAGAATATCCTATTGATATACGGATTTTAGTGGTTCGAAATGGTTTAACCATGATTTCCGTCTAAAATATGTTACCACTAATTTTGGCTATATGCGCGGTTTAGCAATTCATTAAAATTTGTTGCCTCACTGCCATGTTTATATATGCCACTCCACAAGCAAGCTATACGAGGGAGAGGAGAAGGGGAAGCAAAATCTTTTGTCAATTTTAAAAGCCTACATTTTCCAACAGTTGCTTATAATTAATCGTTTTTCTCAAAAAGTATGGAAAACAAAGCATTAATTCATCCATATTTTCTTTTTTTAAGTTAAGTACGCAGCCAAACACGTAATAATCATCTGGATTTTATTTGAGTACGTGGAAAGTCCCCTCCATTCCGTCCGTACCATACGTGCATGTGAAGGAAACTAGCTACAGCCCTGCATTTGTGGGCCTGATGGGGGGTTACAGTTTGGGCCGTCGAGCACAAATTAAACCAGGCCGGATTAAATCTACCAAAATGCTGACGGCTGGACTCCAACTCCTCCAAAAGGCCGAGAAACCGTCTTTTTTCTCCCCCACTCAATCTTTCCCCGGAAAATCTCGTCAGAGAAAAATGGACGGAAATTTAGAAATTTCGATCGACAAGCTCCCGGTCAAGCGCCTGGAGGCCATCGAGGAAAATGGCGCCGAGCGCTTTCCGACGTACACGCCTTTCTCCTTCTTCCTCAATCTCCTTTTCACTCTACTACACACTCCAAAGCCTGGGAAGCCGAATACCTTTCCTGTTGACCTAATGCCTGCTCTTTCCTTCGGCTTCTCTAGCTGACGATGAATTGGGAATTAGTGATGCCATTTTGAGTGGGCAGCTGATTGTATCTGCTTTTTTTTGTTTTTTTTGGTTGCAGTGATGTTGGGTACGACGAGAAGCGAGTTTCTCTGATTCGGAGGATAGATTTTGCGTGGGCGTTGGAGAGAGAGGAAGATGACGACGAGAGGAAGAAGAAGCAGAAGAAGAGTTCCAAGGAGAGCACCTCGGGGACGCAATGGCCATGGCAGGGGATGGTGGAGAACTTGCAGTTGGCTCACCAGGAGCTCTCTGTCATTATCGATCTCATCAACACTGTGACTCTCTTTCAATCTCTCCTTTCCTCCTTAGTCAATTTTCCCTATTCATTATTCGTTTCTATAGTTATTCGTGGCTTTTGATGTTTATGGAACTTGGTGATAGAAGTTTGGTAGTAATTGAGTAAATGGTGAACTTTTGGTTTATATTGAGAGAAGCAATGTGGATGAACAATGAGGTTTTGAATGCTTAATGGGGAACTATAAGAATGGGGTGAAGCTGAAGTCAGTGAATTTTCCTTTTGGTTTTTGTGTAGTTGGAAGCTAATGATGCTGTAACAGTTGCTAGTATGAGTAGACCAAAACCGTTAGCTGAGGAGCAGCTGGCTGATCATGCTGTTTCCACTGCAACCAAGCTACAATGCTACCGGGTACTTAACGGTTTCCATCTGACATTTCCCCCTAGTCTGTTCATAGCACCAGTTGCTGACGTTACAGTTCGTTTCGATTTCAGCAACTTGGCAAATACTTTAAGCAGTCTGCCAAAGCTTTGGATCTGCAAGTGGCCAGAGAAGCAAGATTTTATGGTGCTTTGATCAGGTGTGTGATATCTGCATCATGATTTTTACGTCATTGACTTACTTAGATGACCATAGAGCATCCTGCTGGCGCAGATAATTAGCTCTTCTGTATAACTTATGAAGTCTATTTGTCAGATAAACTTGTTAGGTTTACAGTACCCTTGTAATTATTTATGTATAGGAATGTATGTGCATAGAAGATGTAGTACTGACAAGCTAACAGATTGCAGCAGAACTGGAAAGTTAAACGCCAGAGACTGGCTGCACTTGCCCCGGCCAATGAAGGGTTCACATTTGACCTGTACGACAACTCATTATACGACCCGACAGCTGTTCGACCGACCTCTCTTTGTACCATTCGGATTGAACACGACCCAGCTGGCATGCTTGCCATAAATTTGCCTCCAAAGTCTCTTCATTCTCTTCACTTTGGGTTTCTAGGTTTAGACTCCAATAAAAGTCGTAGTAAGACAGCCAGTAAAATCAGAACCAATTCGTCAATTGAGCATATATCAAAAGGAACCGAGAAAGAATCTCTAGATGATAATGGAAGTGTGAAAGTAACACATTCCCTGCTCCGTGAAGTTCATCAAGCAATCTTTGACGAGCAGGTCGACTATTTCTGTTTCCCAATTGTGTTATGTGGTGATGATTCCCTTTAATTCTTATAGTCTTACATTATTCTTTTTTTCTTTTGGTTTCAGGTATTTGATATAGTGAACCGTGAAGCAGTTAACCAATCTTTAGGAGTCAACATTACTGGAATCCGAGAAAACTATCTACAACTGAGCATTGGTCCAGGAACCTCTGTGTTTGTATCCGTTACTCCTTGTGACCAGGATGAATCAACAACTGTCGATGGTAGAATCCCCCAGGATTTGGAATCTGCAACCTTACCTCTGGATTCAGTGGAGGATGAAAACATTATGAAGCACTTGGGCTTTCCCAATTCTACTAGTTATGAAATATTCCTTCGCCAGATATTTCATGAGAATGTTCTCATAAAAGCAAAGGAGAAACCCGTTTCTACAGGCACTCGCGTACCTACACCCCGAGTGAAGGATGGGCCCAGTCTTCTTGGTCACTTCTGCTTATCTCTGGCTCATAGAATACTTTCAAACAAAGTTCTTATGGAGCTAGAAAAAGTGGTACCTTTCTGGTCTTGTTGATAGTTTCATCCTACTTATTGATGTCCTAAACAGGCTGTGCTCTTTTCTGAAAAAAAATTCATCTTCTGTTGCCGCCAGGTTTGCAGAGTCCCGTATCTCCATTTGATATCTCATCCCACTTGGCATTCCAGGTCATCTTCCTGGACAATCTTGATGAGAGTACCACCAACCATTCTCAATGCCAATTCTCAATCACAGTCCTCGGACATCCAAGGCATGAAGAATACTGTTATTAAATCAGAGTTCCGGAACAAGGTTATGGTGAACGATGATCACATCCACATCGAAGCAGAAGGTGCTCCCAACGTTGTTGGCCTCTTCAACGGAAGTTCTAAAGACAGATGCGTGACCAACAAATATGATTGTGATTTGGTCGATCTTCCCGTCACAATTCTACAGCAGGTACCCAGTGTGTTTATTTTGATAACACATTTGACGTTTTATTAAAGGAACTTTATTTTAAGCCCAAACAAACACACCCTCTTTGTGTTATGTGATCTTCTAATGTGGTTTGTCCACCTTTCGCAGGTTGCAAGCCAGGTTATCCGTTGGCTGCACGAGGAGGCTCTCGGGGTGGGCATGAAGGCAAGTCGGGATTTCCTGTGCTTGTCTTTCGAGCTGGATCAAGGCGAGCTACTCAGCCTGGTGGCCCACGTAGACCCAGAAGACACTCAGGGATGCATATCTTGGTGGCTGGTCATGGATGAAAGCTTTGCAGAAGAGAGGAAACTCTATGCCGATGCTGATGTAGATGGATCGTCCGATTACCGGAAGTTCTTGGGGTATCTTACCTTGGATGTGTTGTATTCAACCCTGATGGATCTAGTCAGTTTATGCAGCGGCGGCGGAGGCCGTGGAGGCCGTTGACATGGTTCTTATCATCTAAGAGATCCCCCTGTAATTTTCTTCTGTAATGCAGTAGTCATGTAAGCACAGGGAAGGTACTTTGTACGTTAACACTGTCCTTAATCTTATCCATATTGTCTTTTCAGAATCATTCTACTTGGTTATTGAATTGCAAATGTGTGTCCTTCATAATCTGTGTTTACAGGAAAGATTACTTGATTGTCTAGATGACTGAATCTTGAAGCGAAGAACATATGAACTAGATCTGGTTGATCAATCAAAAGTAATTTTGCATTATTTAACAAAAGAGAAAGTCGTCGTTATTTAGTTTGGTCATTAGTACCTAAAGCTGGACTTTGACTTTCCCCGCCCCAATAAAATGAATCACATCAGAGAGAGAGATACACACATTCGCCTCAAATGCAACACCCGCCGCACGAAATGAACACTTTAGTCATTAAAACAAATCAACAGGCAATGGTTTAGTCATTAATTACTTGATAATTAACAACACATCGAAACCCTAATAGTACGAAAACAGAAACTAATTATACATCTCTCTCTTTCTTTTTGGTAGATTTACATCTTCTCTGCCAATGGAAGTTGCTGGTGAAAGATTAGTTTAATGATTATTGATTACAATCACACTAGCGTATAACCAATATGACAAATCAGGGCGGAAAGGGGTTTGATTAGGAGGGAATTAATTAAGAAAATCTCAATTATTATTATATAACAAGCAAAAATTTGTAGTCAGCTGTACCAAAAAATATTAACCAAAATCTACAACTTTTTTTGAATTAGATTCTAATCCTATGATTATTTATTTGTTTATATAAACTAGGTGGAACTATTTTCATTAAACCGTCCATAAACTTTGGATTTATTAACAAATCGATCGCCAGATATTGATTTGTAATGACTGTTTCTCACTATAATTTGAAAGAACTAACAAAACAAACAACTGTCTAAACAAAGAACTCAACTCGACCCTAATTGACTAATAGAATATTAGCTAGATTTGACCAATTATAGCTCGACTGACATTGTGGGAGTTAAAAAAAATGCCTTCTCGATGCCGACAATTGGCAACGATATAGTGTGATGTAAAATTGGATCTTGTACTAGCGGGTTTAACCTTATCCTTGATTATTATTAACGTGGGAGATAACACTCTAATTTTGAACAGAGTTATAGGACCTATAACTTAGACAGAAGTGAGACATAATTATTACGCTAGTTATTCCAAATTTCAGTAATAGATGTTATAAAGAATTAAATCCCGAATCGAGAGAGATCAAAAATTCTCACTATTTCTTAGATTCATGGACAGCAAAGTAGTGACAGCTTTTTTTGTAACATCAAAATTCAGTGACCATTTATGCAATTGTCCCTATTTTTAGCTGGAATTTCCCATTTGTGAGAAAAATAAAATAAATCAAATTTTCCTCTCCCAGTTTCCGTTAAACAACAGATCCCTTTCGTGACACACTGCTCTCTCTCTCTGTCTCACACCCACGCCCACGCCACAACAAGCGCAGAGAGAAGAAGGAAGAAAGACGGAAAAAAATAAACAACCAACAAAAATACCAATCCAACTGTAAACTTCCTCTCCCTTCTTCCTTCTTCAGTCTTCTTCCCCCCCCCCCCCCCCCCCAGCCCTGCCCAAATTCCACCCTTCCTCGTCGCTGCCTTCCTCCCCATTTCTACCTCCTTCTGAGCTCTCTCCCCCAGTTCGCCGTCTTTGCTTCCTTGGCATTGGGCGCCGAACGGGCTTTACTAAACTTGGAGGGAGGGAAGACAAAGAGTGTCAGTCTCAAGAGTCCTTCCGCGCGAGGTTTATCCCAATTGGAAATTGGTGGGAGTCTTCTTTCCCTTTCTTTCCTCTCGCTTTACCTTGGTGGGTATTCGAGGAGCAGGAACATGTGGGCGATCGTGATGGGTTTGTCTTGAGATTTCCCCTTCGTTTCTCTTTTCACGCCCCCCCCCCCCCCCCCCCCCCCCCCCCCCCCCCCCCCCTGATTCGACAGCGGCTTTCATTTTCCTAGCTGGGTTGGAATCCGATTTCTCTTATTAAGGAGGGTTTTGATTTTTTTTCCCTGTGCAATCATTGGATGGTAGTGTGTGGACTCTGTTGAAGTTGAGTCCGGGCACGGCAGGCAGTTCACGTCCCACTATTAGATGTAGTAGCTGGTTTTTTCTTCTGCTCATGGAATGATGGATTGTTGATTTGCGGGAGTTGTTGCCGTGGTGGGTTTTGGGACTTGAGGAAGAGGGTTTAATTCGGATTTTGGTTTTGGGGTTGGATTTGTATTGATCTTGGGGAGGGAGATTGCTAGAGTGGGGAGAATGTCTGGGGGGACGCCGAGAGGTGGGTATGTGAGGCAGAGACATAGCCAAGGAGGATATGGATCGAGTGGTGATGATTTGGAGGATGATGCTTGCTCAAGACCACAACAGCACTTCTCTCCAACTCCTCCCAGAGTTAGGTCTTGGGTAGAGATTTTGGAGAATCTGCTCTGGATTGCTTCATCCCTTTTCATCGTTTACTATGGGGACAGACATTCCAATTTGATATATCTACTGTGGCATGATGGTAGGATAAGAAGGTAAGCAGCTCAGTTTGTTCTGTTTCTCTTCTCACGGTTTGATATAATTTGTGGTGTAGTTGGTACTATCTCAAATATTGAACTTGAATGATAGCAAAGACTATTAGGATGGTAGCTGGATACCCTAGATAACTGTTTCTATAATTATGGGTGCGTTCTGTTCCTGGATATGAATGATCTCATTTTCCTGTTTCTTGGTTATTCTTTGGTCACTGAAACTGCTGATAACATGTGTTGTTCTCTGATAAAAGCTCGATATTCGGAAGAAATGGCATTCCAGGTTTATTTATGGATGGCACTTGTGCTTGTCTAGTGGTCTAATCCTGCTACCTGTAACTATGGGGAAAAGAATAGTGTGCCCCTATTTACATTGTGGCAGCCAATATCTGTAGTGCTGGTGTGGAAGAGCGGGCTAGAGTTAACTTTAATGCTGAGGTTCTGAAATGGGTTATATGATCCATGGGGATAAGAATAGTGTGCCCTTTTTATACTGTGGCAGTTAGTATTCCTAGTGCCAAAATGAAAGCGGTCGCAACAATTGTTTCTGAGAGGTTTCTTGCATGTTAATCGAGTCTTTGAAATAGAAACTGGTGTACTTATATGACGCACACATATCCAATGTGCAAAGTGCACAGTGGGCTTGCCCAATAATATATGGAAAACGTACCGTGGATGGGAGAGGAACAGGAGTCCTCAGGTGCATAGTCATTTGCTTCATTTCTTAGATTTCCACAATAGGATTCAAAAGGACCGACAAAGGGAATCCAAACACAGTTTGAAATTTGAATGACACTGAGATGCTGAGTCATTATTATCATTTCCCGTTTTACTTATTCTAATAACTAGCTTTGTTTTGCCAACCTTAGCAATGACCTTCATTTCTATAGTAGTCAAGTTATCAGCTGAAGAATCTGTCTAGGGGGATCAAATGCAGAAGTTATCTGCTGTTAAGGCTTTAATTTCCAGCGTGCTATTGGGATAATTTTATGATATCTCGGCTATTCATCCTAGTTTCTTTCTGTCATATCCTATTCTCATTTTGGTGACTTTAACCTCAGCTAGTTACCAGCTGTAACACGTTGAAGTATGTACATTGAATTGGTGATCAAGTTTTCTACTCAATGTTAAATTTTACTTCTTGTGACATTCCATTATTAGCTTGATGCGAGTGCCTAGATTCATTTTTCAGTTTTGCTGTGAAGCGAAAAATAAGCTGCAGTTTGCTGTGTGATTTGGTTGCTCTTACTTGTGGGGGGCTCTTCACATGGAAATCTTTTATATCTATGTGACGTTAGATTCATCCCTTCAGTCACTTTAAATAAAGTCTTCCAATATGTCGGGCTGGTAAAGTGTTCTTTTGTATCTGCTTGTCATAAACTCCTCTAGTAAGCTGATGATATCACTTGCTCTCACCATGGCATGTATTGAAAAGTGTATTTTATATTCAAACCAGGTCTAAAACCAGATATTATGTCCTTTATGCATGCATCTGCCTTTTTCGTTCTAGAAGCTGTTGTTCATCTTGCTGTATCAGTTACTAGTGTAAATGGCTGGCCATGTGACCAGGATATGAAAATAACTTGATGCTCCCACGTTGAAAAGTTCACTTACGGTATCTATCATTGCTGAAATTCCATGCAGAATGCCCTTGTACTTCGGGATGGCAGGTGTTGGTTTCAATGTACTTATATTTTTGTACACAAGTTTGTTTGCTTGGAGCGACAGAAGATTTGACGAGAAATGGGAATTGTCGAGCTTATCTGCTTTACCATGGGTTACTGTATTGGGACTCGTCTCCTTCTGCTTGTAAGAACTTATTTAACATCTGATCATCTCTTCAATGATTCTCATTTATTACCATCAGACCACTCATCCTGTTTATCCAACTTCTTATTCATATAGGTTCAGTGTGGCTTTGTGGCCAATATGGAGTTTCTTGACAATTCCTCTTCTGGTACAAATCTCAGATGCCCCTAAACCTTCTGTACTTTATCATAGCTTCTCTCACATACCATCAAAATCCTAACTTGTCCTTTTTTTCTTCTGCAGTTCACCCTGTTCATGGCTTTCATGATAATCTTTCCTTCAGTAATAGTTGGAACGCTGAGGCAACAAGGTGATGCATTCCGTATAGATTAAAAGACTCTCGAGAGCAGGTGGAGATACTCTGACATAGATGAACAACTTTCTAACCCAAAACCATGGTGGGTAGCACTTGATGTAGGTCAAAAGATCCATTTTGTCTCATGGAAGAACACAAATTTACTGCACAGTTTTGACCTCTTGGTGTTGGAGGTGGTGGTCGCAGAAGAAAGCTGATCTGGAATTCACCCGATCAGTTGTTATACCCTCATTGTCCTTGACACAGACACTAAAATTTTCAGGCAGCCCTCTCTTATGAAGTGCAGGATTGGATCGATAAACAAGGCGGGATGGGGAGACTTCAAGCAGGAATTTAGATTGATTGATTTGATTGGTTGTATTGTGATAAGTTTTGTGACTGAATTCCATCTCGCCCTTGTTTTTTGATTGCTCTTTAGAATTTGAATGAGAAGGGGCCAGTACAGTTCCAATAGTGACTAAATTTGGTGTTCATAATATTTTCTTGTCGTAACTCGTATAGTCTCATCTGGATTCATCCTGTTTCCATAACATCACAAAGCTGCAGGCTTTGATGTTTCGACCTTCTGTGATCCCTTTTTCTTACTTAGTTTCTATGATCCCTTTCATTGATGATCGTTTAAGCTTGTTCGAGATCCAGCCTACCACTTTCTAGATTTCAGCTGAACCATATACAGGTTGCAATACAGCAGCAGAGACTATATATTAAACAAACCAGGTCATATGAGATCATTGAACTCTTATAAACCATGTTTGGCATGAAATGGACTCTTCATCAACTCCACTTGACAAAAGAACTGCAAGAAAAAGCTGAGCACACAACACCTTTTCATGCTATAGGCATGAAATTGAGTGTTCATAACCTCATTTTCGTTCTAAAAGCGTATAATCCCATCTGGGTTCATCCAATTCATTACAAATCTGCAGCCTTTGATGTTTCTTTGGCCTTCTTGCCTCTTCTTTCATCTCTGAGCTCTTTTCTTCTCAAGTTTCTATCATCCTCGCTTCAATTGATGATCGTCTAAGCTCGTTCGAGTTTCAGGCAGCAATGACAGCAGCAGAGACTAAACAAGCAAGGTGAGGCAAGATCGTTTAACTCTCAAGATAGTACCACACGTTTTCCATGGAATGGAGACAACTTCATCAACTCCACTTGACGAAAAAATAAGGGAGGAAAAAGTTGAGCACATAAGAACATGTGGATATTGCCAAAAATTAGTCCATATATTGCTATCTCCAACGAGTAACCTCGTGGAGAAGGCTTCGTGGACTATTTTTCCATTTCTCAATGAGAAGGTTGTAGTTCTTATTAGTTAAGGAATGGAAAGTGGGGCAATTAGTTGACTGCTTCATACATTTGTACGCGTAGGAGTTGATGATGATGATGACACTTAGATCCTGTTGGGATACTTTTCTTTGCAGAGAGGCTATGGCAATGGCAGCCAGAGAAGTTGTTAATTGGGTTTTGATGCTTTCAGACTGAGTTGGGGGACAGTTCTTATTTTGAGTGGATTTCCACTTTGAAAGATCACCAAACAACACACATAGTCGGCCTCACCAAACTCCATCTCTTATATTCCACATTCAACAATAACTGTTCTTGAGTTGAGTAATTTGGTGGGGTAGTGGGTGCTGCATTTTCCTTTGCATTTATAAACTCCAGATGTGAGGATTATTTTAGAAGTACCGATGAATTTAGGTAGAGCGGAGTGTTTTTTCCCGTATAATCTCAACATGATTAGGGTACAAAATTTATTGAATTGATTATTTTAGAAGTATTGATGAATTTAGGTAGAGCAGAGTGTTTTTCTGTATAATCTCAACATGATTAGGGTGCAAAATTTATTGAATTGACAAAATATTGCTCACATATTGGCGAAGGGGTTAATGTCGTTCTTTTTTCAAATACAGTAGTTTTTTTATACGGAAAATACAGTAGTTTTTTTATACGGAATATATTTGTGCATTATAATTATGAATAAGTATCTTAATTCTGAATTTCTTCATGCTGGGTTAACACGTTAATATTTTTTGTATGAGCCATAGCTAAATATTAATACAACATTGAAGGAGAGGGGGGAAACCAGGGTTTTAGAGGAATTTGAATCCAACACTTCGAGAGTTACAACTCTAGCATGAATTGATACCACTTGGCTACAACACCTTTGTATTTACATCGCGTGTAATTTCCTTTTTCTCTCGCAATTTAACTCACATCATTCTTTTTACGGCTCATTTTCTAAAATATGTGTCTCATGAGGGCGTATTTCAAGGAACCTAAAAGAAAATTGTCAACTTCATATTGCATGCAGTCATCAAATTTGAATGAATTTTTTCAATGTCGTAATTTGGAAGCAGATAAACGACTTATGATATAATATTGATTTGGTTTCTTGATGAATGTTACACATTGATAACAACCCTTATCATTTATAGCCAATATCCCTTATGGTTTCCTCATTCAAAGGGCAAGAAAAGTAAAATCCACAGCTCATTATTGAAACTTTTAAGTTCTCATAATTCGATTAGGAATTCAAATTTGAAACCTTTAGGTTCAAAACAAGCGGTATTATAACTAGATCAAACTCTTACTCGCATAAAAATCGTCACCTAGTAGGTCAAATGCTGTGATCGACATTGCTTTCTAACTAAGTCTTTATTTTCTACGAGGGTTATCTAATACCAAACTTCCCTTTCAGTCCCAACATTGACCCAATAGGTTTCAATAGATTTGAATATTTTGGTAACATTTCAGTCAACCCAAATCGCCACCTCCTCATCGGCTCATCCTTCTTCATTGCTCCAACTACAAAAGATCGTAACTTTTCCTCACCATATCTTGTGCAAAAATAACATTTAGGAGATGAAGTCATTAATTGTTTTTTTTAATGACAATATACGTGTTATTTAGACAAGAAAGTAGACAGAGAATATATCTACAAATAATTATGTGTTCTAGACACTCATTCTAATCCAATCTATATTCTCGTATCCTATATTGCTCTCAATTTCCGATCATATGCATGCTCGATGACACTAGTCGATAACTAGCTAAAGTCAAGAAAATATGCATGATTATTCCGCCGAATCCATATTGAGTGCATCACAACATGTAGAATGTGTATCACAAAGATATGCAAAAGACCTAAATGAGTCCATTCATTCCTACAACATCATCGATCGTTCTCCAACAAACATCGTCGTGTCTCAAGCCAAACAATCTAGTGATCATGATAGATAATTGTAGTTCGTCGTCATGCATATTTGTCGCATTGTCGATCCAGACCTTCGTGATTGAGAAACTTGTTAGTGATGAATCCCATGCTTGTGAGTAATGATCCCTTATTGCAGGTAAAGACAATGCACATGATTAATAACCGTCGTCCCCGGATTAGTAATGATGAATGTACACAAATTCCCAATAATTGAGCCTTGTTTAGTAAGAATGGTCACACTACTATAGTCCCTAATTAGTAATGCTTGTTACAGTTTATTAATGAGAAATTACAATCCTTTAGTTTTGTCTGGCTTTGTTTTATAGGTACAATCCAAATCTCTCTGCAGCAAAAATAATAAAATGTCAGCTGGCAGAGTTTTGTGAAGACTGGTTTACTGTGGACATCAATAATTAATTAATTAACTTAAAACTTTGTGCATATCGACCCTAACAAGTACAAAGAGAATAAGTAGTTATGTGTGTAATAAAAAATAGTATTTCGAAAGCAAAGCAAAGGAGGAGAAAGATGGATTTAACAAACAGATTATATCGATTGTTGAATAGAACTACTCTTAATTCTTAATCATATTGTTTCAGGTGGAATTTCGCGTGATCAATGCACCCTGACTTCAAGAAAACGGAAAACGATGTTACTCGGTTCACACCTCTTCAAACACTGTTCGAACGAGGGTGTTCGATGCATACATCAAAGGAACTGGCTACTTTTACCTCTACTTCTATGGAGATTCCTTGAGAGCTCCGCAACTACTGACTACAACTAACAGAGAAGCCTCGTTGGAGGGTCCCTGGTGCTACTGCTACGGTTACTGTTCTAGAGAGAAAAGATAAATTTTGACGAGACTTGTTGTGGTATGATTTGTCTGTCTCCCGTCCAGAGTCTTGCTGCTAGTTTTGTTGTGCCTCACCCTCTAACCGCCTTCTCTCTCTCTTCCCAAAAATCAGCTCCACGTAGCATCCAGTAACTTCCCCGAGCGTTCTTTGCAAGTCAAGTGCTGCTTCTGGTAACCACCTCAACACGTCATCATGTCACTTGACCATTGGACGGTCACCGTACACAAAACAAGTTGGATGGTATCCATGTTGACTAAGACAACAGTCCAGTCCATGGATGGTACTCATATTAAATGGTCACCATACCCCAGCATCATCCATTAGGGTTTGGACGGTATCCATTACATTGGACACTACCATCCATTATGGATTTTGGATGGTATCCATGTATTTGGACACTACCATCCAATATGGATTTTGGATGGTATCCATGTATTTGGTCACTACCATCCATTATGGATTTTGGATGGTGTCCACGTATTTGGACACTACCATCCATTATGGATTTTGGATGGTGTCCATGTATTTGGACACTACCATCCATTATGGATTTTGGATGGTATCCATGTATTTGGACACTACCATCCATTATACCTATGGCCTGACTTGATAAATTGGACCATTCATGTACACATTGACCAATTACTTAGATTGGCCAAGCTGTTCACACAAGCAATAATTAATGAAAATTATTTTGGTGTAAACAAATGCCCCCCACAACTTAGTTTATAAGAACTAATTCTTATGAACTAAGTTGTTGACACCAACTATACTAGAAACCACTTGAAGCAGATGTTGGCTTTATGTAGCCATGTACAAGTCACATAAGGAATGTAATTCCTTCCTGGCCTTGTGAACAACACACACCAAGAGGGTGTCCCTTTCCAATTCGGCTAATAATACAATTTTTAGCCAATTAATGTAGCATGCCTTTTCCTTTTGTGATAAGGAACAAAAATTCTTTTTCATGTAGGACACACCTCATAATCCATATCCTACTTCAAAGCTGTGTGATGCTTCCCCATGGCAAGACTCTTGCTACTCCTCGGCCTCAAGTCACCAAGCTCAGGTACTCCTCCTCTCAATCCTGGATGGTTACTCGGCCAAACTCAATCACAATCCATATACAACATGGACGATGTCCTTTTGCTTGGACAACACTATCCATGCAACCACTTAACCAAACCATAGTTACAAATTACTTAAGGCCAACCATCCTTGGCTTCTAGTAACATGGATGATACAATCTATCCAGAAGGTTGCAAGGTAACCATCCAAACTATCTATTTGGACGGCAACCATTTTGCTTCCGAGAAAAACAAATCCCTTTTAATGGCCAATCCAGAAAAGATTTGTCCTGGCCATCTCACTCCTCGGCCATGTTGCACATCTTAGAAACCATGTCAACTTTGACTAGGTCTCCATGTGCACTAGGCCAACTTCTAAATCATTGACACCCCTTAACGTCCCAAAGGGACGGTAAGTATGGCTTAAGGTACTTGCCATTAATTAAGCGCTCATGTTGTACACCATCCAAATCTTTCAATAAGTAAGCACCATTTGGACGCACATCATGAACAATGAAGGGACCCCGCCAATTAGGAGACCACTTTCCAAATTTTGGATCCTTCTCACCAATTGGCAAATGCAGCTTCCATACTAGCTCTCCTTCCTCAAACGACTTATGCTTTACTTTTTTATTGTATGCCCGAGCCACTCTGGCCTTTTGTACCTGGATGTTATCAAGAGCTTGGAGTTGCATCTCATCCAGTTCGGACAACTCCAACATCATTGATTCATAATACTCCGAGGGAGTCAATTCATGTTGTTTCATGTATCGTAGAGACTTTACCGTTATCTCCACTGGCAAAAAGGCCTCATGACCATATGTCAAAGAGAAAGGAGTCACTCTCGTACTACTGCGTGGTGACATCCTATAAGCCCATAGTGCCTCTGATAGCACCTCATGCCAATTCCTTGGATTGTCCTCAATCATTTTGGACAAGATTCCTTTTACCACCTTATTGGATGCTTCTGCTTGACCATTGGCTTGAGCATAATAAGGCGTGGAGTGGATGATCCTAATGCCATGATCTTTGGCAAACTCCATTACCTGTGCTCCAGTGAAGACTGTCCCTTGATCGGCTGTTATAGTGGCTTGCAGACCAAAACGGTGAATAATGTGTTCCTTGATAAAAGAAATCACCTCCCCTTGGTTCACCGTCTTCATTGGCTTTGCCTCTACCCACTTTGTAAAATAATCAGTAGCCACAATGATAAAGGTGTGTTGCTTAGATGACGGGGGATAGACTTGTCCAATCAGATCCATTGCCCATCCAAAGAATGGTCGAGGCTTAATGATAGATCTCAGATCGATGGCATGTGCTCTTTGCACTGGTCCATGACGTTGGCAAGCTTCACATCCCTTAGCAAACAATGCACAATCAGCCCCAATAGTTGGCCAGTAATATCCATATTGCTGAAGTATCCACCTCATGGATGGACCAGCTTGATGTGCTCCACATATCCCCTCGTGGACTTCGGCCATAGCTTGTAAAGTCTCCTTGCCCCCCAAGCACTTGAGCAACAAACCATCTGGCCTTCTCTTGAATAGTGTCCCATCCAGTAAGACATAGTTCCTAGCCCTAAACTTGGTAGTATGGTCTGCATCCCCACTTGGATTTTGCAAGTACTTCACTATAGGAGCCCGCCAGTCCTCGGCATCCTCTTCAATCACACAAACCTCAACAACTTGTTTCATTCTATCCCTCAAAGGGCTAAGAGTTTGCATGAATATTTGGTCTCTTCCTCCACTGACAAACTCTCTAAAGCCGGATGCAAGCTGAGCCAGATAGTTGGCCTTGCCATTATCCATACGAGGAATGAACTTGATGGATACATTGTCAAAATGAGAAATCAGCATTTTGA